TCTCTGAAAGAGTGACCGCTGGCCTGTAAATGAGTGAAAACTGCAGAGTTCTGGCCATTAGATGTAGCTCGTCTGTGTTGGGACATTCTTTTGAAGAAAGGAAGTTATTGCTGTTTGTTTACGTGTAATCAAGCCCATGACTTCTGCCGCTATGCATAGCTGAACCACCAGGGCCTTTGTGACCATTTTACTGTGTTATCTATTTTTGTGCAGAACTTCCTTAATGTTTAAGATATTTCCCAGAAATTTGAGGAAACATTTCACATTCTGCTTTTTTGTAGGAAGCATCCTGTATCCTAAAAACGATTAAAAAAAAAACATTTTAAAATCTGATGTAAAAGTAGCAGAAAAGGAATAATGTGACGAGGCTCGTGTCACCAAACTGCAACATCAAACTAACTTTTTGTGTCTTGGAAAGCCAGAAAATGAAAACCATTTAAAAACCATGTGGACTTTTGTTTTGTAAACAAACCTCCTCAACCAATGACATGAGGAAGACGAGCGTCAACACACTTTGCTAACGTGAGCTATTTCGTAAAATCAAACAAACAAAAAAAAAAACATGCTTTGACGTTTCAGATTATATCACATTTGGAACAAAGGAAAGTAAATAAGGTTCTGGAAAAACTTGGATGATTGAATTTGAGCCTATTTTTTTATGAAGTGGCTTTTGCATTGTGTTATTTTTGCACCTACCGATACCCACTACCTACTTTACTAAATGAGCAGTTAGTTGGGATTTCTGCCCACATAGTTATAATTTCTTCACAACAGTGTATACTCTCAATCGTGACAAAAACAAAACATTTTGTGGCGTCAAAAAGGAAGCAACAGCTAATGTTTCAGCAGGACGGTTTCTTTACTGCTGAAACTTTAGCTGCTGTTTCCTCATTAAAAACAAACGCTTACTCCGGTGCTCCTGTTTTTGAAAGCTGTTGCCTTTTTTTTCTGTGCCATGTGAATAAACAGTTAATAAAATGCATGTTTTTAGACTAGCTTATTTTACACGTACTTCCGTAATAATTTGCACAACAAAAATATGAGGAGTCACTTGGAAGCCGGAATTCCCATCACTAACGAACAAAGGAAAACCAGTCGCAGACAACTGGGAGCTGTTTTTTTTTTCCTTCTCCCTCGTGTTTTCCTTCTCAGAAGCAGACACACGTCTTTGCTTTTCCACTGAGGGCAGGAGACCAGGGAAAAGGGGAGGAGCACAGCAGTTGTTGTAAATGGAGAACATGTGTACAGCTTGCACACTTGTGGTACGGTGTGAACTACACAGGGTTCCCACTCCTTGGTCAACATCAAATTCAAGGACCTTTCAAGAACTTTCCAGTACCAATTTCCTGATTTGGTAAAACGAAGACTATGTCTCACGTTATTTGTTGAAAGCCACGTCAGTTTACCATAATCCAGAGTTATCCACTGCAACAAATGTAAGTTATTTTATTATTTTTTCTTTTTACAGATGATTAAAATCAGTCGCGTGAATAGAGAACTTAAATCCCCAAAAAATATTCAAGGACTTTCAAAGACAACTGTAATTTTTGGCTGTTTTCACAAACTTTCCAGGACCTTGAAATCATTTTTTTCAAATTCACAAACTTTCAAGGATTTCAAGGACCCGTATGTATTAATGCATGTATTGCAACTTTTCATGTGCAAGCCAGCCGTATCAGTTCAGAGTTTTCAGGTGTTCCAGTTCCTTTTTCTGACTTGGAACTCAGAAATTCCCACTTTTGGATACAAACAYACAATACTGTACTGTTAGAAATGAGTGTAGCTACTATATTAACCAATTTTACTTCAGTATTTGTAAAATAAATAAAATGACATAGCAATATTGGCGTTCAACATCTCTACAAAGCTGATCTGAAGAAATCATTCTATAATCAGAGCTTTGGATCACACATCAGAGGCGATCAGAGGTTCGGTGTCTTACACAGACACTTTAACACGTGACAGCCAAGGCAAGAACTGACTATTATTGGAGAACGATTACTTTAACCACTTTAAACCACAGCCACCCTGAGGCAGGGGGTGGGAAGCTAGAAGCCGAAGCCACAAAGAACATTCCTAATGCACAGCCTCTGGCTCCAGATTTACGATAACATCCAAACATTTTGCGTAATAGTAGGTACTGTGCCCATTTTTAGGCTGCACAATCACAAATGAGAGATTTAGCAGATCTGCGACTGCGACTTTTGAGACTTTATCGCTGCATATTCACGTTACGCTGTGTTCAAGGCTGGTGAAAAGCTGGGACATCTGAGSTTTGCCAGATTTACTGGGTTATTGGAAGCAACTTGTTTCTTAGTAGCTTGATCATCCATCCATTATCATCTTCTGATTCGGGTTGTGGGGGGGCAGCAGCTTGAGCAGGGAGGTCCAGACCCCTCTTTCCCCAGCCACCTCTTCTGAGAGGATTCCAAGACGTTCCCAGGCCAAATGAGACAGYCTCTACATCGTGTCCCGGGTCTTCCCTGGGGTCTCCTCCCACTCAGACATGCCAGAAGCACCACCCGAGGGAGCTTTTATCCTTGTAATAAAACACACATGCTTACATTGACATGGCTGGGTTCCCAAAATGGTAATTTGTGACTGTGAATCGGATGTTAACTACTCAAAACAATTATTTTTTTATAAAAAAACAAACATGAAATCATTAATTTAAACACTTTAATTTGTCAGTAAGACACTATCTAGCACCATTAATTGAACATAACCTACTTTTTAAATTAAAGTTCTCCAACTGGTATGTCCAAACAAAAAAAAATCCCTAAATCTAACAACTTTTCTTCGCCAGCGACCTTGAAGTCCCTTAGTCATTGTTAAGCTGGGGAATTTCCCTTTTTCAAATATGACTGGAATTCCAGGTGACATCACTCCAAACAAACAAACAAACAAAAAATCATCTTCAAACCTGTACTTATGTAAACAAAACTAGTTTGTTGCCAAGCCAGCTGATAAATGATTGCATTTCAACACACTGTCATTTTAAAGCTTTCAACTGTGACTCATTGGTCCAACATGGGACACGTTACACAGTTACTGCAATGTCCACAGTTGTAAAGTAACTAAATACAAATACTTCATTACTGTACTTAAGTAGAATTTTTTCTGTACTTTACTTGAGTAATTATTTTTCAGCCTACTTTTTACTTCTCCTTACATTTTCACACAATTATCTGTACTTTCTACTCCTTATGTTTTTAAGAAAGGCAAGAAGTAGAAAATTGTTACTTTTATTTCTTTTTTTCCTTTTTTCCATTCCAGCGTGTTATTGTAAAAAATAACTATCCATATAAATGGTGCCTTCTAGATAGTGAATTTAATTGTGGTTGAATGAGAAGTATAAATATTTAAAATTCTGATACCGTATTAGTTTGTACACAAACAAATCATGTCACACTCCAGCAGGACATAATCATTAACATAAAATGACTGTACTTAAGAAGTATTTGTATTTCATGAATTATATTATTGCATTTGGCCGCAGCCCTCAGATTTTCATTTTGGACAAAATGTTTGGTCACCCTTAAAATATGTTTATAAACTGAAACAGCTGGACTAGTGCATCCTAAACTTAACATAAATTATTTTAATACAWWMAACAGTCATTTCTGCAGTTTTTGGGGAGGTCACCTCCTAATAAATGTCATTACAGAAAATCTAACTGCTCGTTTTAAATCAATACTTTTACTTTTAATACTTAAGTACAAAAAATATCAGATACTTTAAGACTTTTACTCAAGTGATATTCCTAAAGGAGACTTTAACTTTTACCAAAGTAATTTTTTGGCAAGATACTTATACTTTTACTCAAGTATCACTTGATGGTACTTTATACAACACTGGCAATGACTACAAAGAAACAGATGAGAAAAAAAAAATTGTGAACCCTAACAAACTATTTTGTTCTCTGTGCTTTTCTCTTTGTAATCTTCAGGTTATGGAAATGTTGCTCCAAAGACTGAAAGCGGGAAAGTTTTCTGCATTCTTTACGGTCTTTGTGGGATCCCCCTCTGCCTGGTGTGGTTGAGCACTCTGGGTTCGTTCTTCGGTGACCGGGCTAAACGTTTATCTCAAGTTCTGCTACGAAAAGGTGTTACAGTGGTAAGCATCTAGCTGAAAACTGAAACTGTGCATTTAAAAAACGACACAAAAACTCATATTTTCTTTTTTTCCTCTGCAGAAAAAGGTCCAGTTTACCTTGACGGCCTTATTTCTTTTATGGGGGCTGCTGGTGCACTTGGTGATTCCTCCTTTTGTTTTCATGGCTGTGGAGGAATGGAGTTACTTGGAGGGCATGTACTTCTCCTTCATCACACTCACAACAGTTGGTTTTGGAGATTATGTCACCGGTAAGGGATTTTTCTTGAAAAGTTGATCTGGGTGGATTTGTATTTTGAAAGAAACGCACATGGCTGAACTCTCATTTCAGGCGTAAATCCCAACATCGATTACCCTAAGCTCTACCGGGTATTTGCTGAGCTGTGGGTCTACATGGGACTCGCCTGGCTGTCTTTGTTCTTCAGCTGGAACGTCCACATGGTAGTGGAAGCTCACAAAGTGTTTAAGAAAAAGAGACAACACTGGCACAGGCACCACCACCGCTATGAACAGGTAGAAGAGCCTAAAAAGGAGAAGCAACCCATAGTCCCGAAGCCAACGGTTGTCGACATCTTCAGCTACCTTTCCAAGGAAGGGGACGACTACAGCACCGTCATCAAAGAGATCGGGTTGGCGGCGAGGAGGAAAAAACAGGTGGAAAACATCAACCGCTCAAAGAGCTGCAGCGACCTCTTGGCCATTGAGATCTTGGAGCACTCACCGGTGCACAGGCGTAATTTCAGTTTCCACGACCTGTGTGCGAGCGCCGAGTTGGGCAACATCGAAGAAGAGAAGGAGAATCTTTTGAGACAAGGAAGCGTCAAGAAACCCCAACTGACGGCATGCGTGATAACTGATCACCAGGAGAATAGGGGTGTGTGTTCTTCGAAATCAGAACCCACTTTGTTTCCTGAACCAGCCGCAGACCAATCAGCGGAGAAAGTGCAGCATCCTAATGGTGCAGAGACTCGGTTCAGGATTTCTAAAGTACTCGAGAAAGATTTACCATCAGATGATCATGAAAATGGATAAGTTATACCCTCATCAAGAGAAGTAGACTGATTTTAGTCGTAATTGTCCAATTTGTAAAGATTAGAAACTTGGTAGGAAGGTGGCTCGCATTTTGTTGTTGGACCTTTTTTTTTTAAAACTGGAAGTATAAGAGATGGCTTTACACTTTTTCTAGTGTGTGACAGTTTAAAGTTGTAAAGTCATTTTTATTATACTGTATCAAACAAATCATGTACTTTTTTAAAATCTATTGTACCCAAGGTTGTATTGTGAAATAGTTGTTTCACAATGCAACCCTCTCAAGTATTAGCTGAAAAAGCCAACTTTTGTCTTTGACAAGAATAAAAATGCATTTTTTTAATCTATCTATCTATGCAGATGGTTTCTTACAATATTGCTGGGATTAAACAGTTACGCTGGTAAATTTATAATAATCAGTTTATTTCAAATTGCAGCACAAGGCTTTGTGAAAAACGCTGCCGATAAGCAACTTTCCCTCGTAGGGAGCTGCAACACTGGAGCCCATCAGCTCGTGGCCGTCATCTCCGTACTCCAAGGTCACCACTGGCTGATCTGAGAGGATGTTCTTTATCCGGAGAACCTGCAGAAAACCTTGTTAAAACCCGTTTGATGGTAAACATCAAAATTTCTTTAAAAAGTACATTTTAAGTGGACTAACCTCAGAGCCAGGTGGATCTTCGGGATTAAACGATGCAAACTTCATGCCGTTTGGATGACAACCAAGCCACAAGTCTCCTGTCCTGTGGTCCACCTCGATGTTATCACAAAGCGATCCAACTGCTACAGACTGTTTCAAATGGACACAAAGTAGACAAGATATGTTCTGTCCGACAAGAAAACTGATCTCAGAATATGAAACTATTTTGTTTCATCCCACTTTTGCTTCTAGATGCATAAGAGTTGACAACTCTGATTTGTTTTGACCTAAAAACTATTGCACAAGAAAAAAATCCATACAAGGCACCTCCATAAGTAACTAAAAATGTGTTTAAATTAGTTGTAAATGGGTTAAGCCAACTAGGGATGTCCYGATCTAGATTTATTGGCTCCCGATACAATCGATATTTTTTTAATGATTACTCTTTCCAATACAGATCAATATTTTATTTCTTTCCAAGTGACAAGGTTGGCCGTATTAAAGCGAGCCCTGCTGTCCCACCACAAGAAACATCAAGTTTGCAGATTTTGCAAGATGCACTTTCAGCATCATTGTTTTCTGTTGAAAAGTGTTCCCACACTGTGGACATGGTTGCRTAATTGTGTGTGTCTTAACTTCTTAACGGCAGTTTTAAGCATGATGACGCTGAAAACTGTTGCGAACACTGGATCGGCCCGATCACGATTAAATCAGATTCTACCCGATTTWAAAAAAAATGGCCATATCTGCCACCGATACAGACACAGAGTGTCTGATCGGGACATCCCTAAAGCTAACTRTGGAAGCTGCTAGCTGCAGCCCTGTGCTTCAGAGACAGATTGTCAGGATGAAAATCCACAGAAACTAAACTGTCATTTCCAGAGGTGGGACAGAATCCGCTTAATCGCCGAACAAATACTTCATTTAGCGGATTAGCTTTTTCACTAACTTTGAAAACCGTTAGCAGACCAGTTAGTTTCCACTAAATTAGTTTTTGCCAACTTTAAGTGTGCTAACCGCTAACTACAAAACGGACAACAGRTTTGTGTTAGGCCCACTGGTCTCCAGCTGGAATGAGACAAAGACGTGTGATGCAGACTGAAAGTCATCTTAGCTGTTAGTGTTAGCTTCTTATTTTTTTTGTATGTTTGTCAGAAAAACTTTTTTTTTTTTTTAAGTTAGCAGATTTTGTGTTAGCAAAGCTAACTTTTTGGCTAGCTATGGTCACCACTGGTCATTTCTGCTGTGATGAATAAGAAAAGAGTCACCTTAACATAGACCAACTGTTCTCCATCTCGTCGCTCATAAACATCAACGTCATGGTCCATGATATCAGAAACATAAATATACCTGTAAAAAAATAAAGAATTTCTGTTTAATTCTTCAAGGATTCTTTTTTTTTAATATACTGCTGAGAATCTCATCCTTCTGAAGAACAGTACAGCTGCTTACACACTGATAGTTACCGTTTGTCAGGAGATATATTTATCCCATTTCCGGACATAATGCCATCAGCTGCCACCCTCACTTCCTCTGGACTGTAGTACACCACATTGCACCAGGGCAGACCCAAAAGTACAGTCAGGAAACTAAGAGCATGATTGTGAAAGTAGTTGTCAATTGTGGCGTAGAAGTGCTCTGTTCCAACAGCAACGATGTCATTCACGCTGAGGAAAAACGATAAAGAAACAAACATTTTAAATGCGCCGCTAATAAAAAAAATAAGGCGTTTAATTTTTAACGTATACCTGTGCAGTAGAGGGTGCGTTACAGTTTTTAGGTGCACGAGGGCGCCTGCGTCCTCGACAAAACGAAAGATTTCCACCTGGCTGTTGTGATGAGGGTGATTGACAACAAACAAATATACAGAATCATCTGCAACGAAACGATTCATTCTCAGTGTGATAAAATGGAAAAATACCAAAAACAACAACATCATCATCATCATATAAATCTAGTTTTTTGCATAAACTATATAATCTGCTCTTTTGATGTTTGCTGCTATAATATAACTTCAATCATTATAGCAGTTCCTGTGAACACTACTGTATAAACCTTCACACTCATGCCATTTTTGTCATTACATAATTGTTTACAAGCAAATATTTGTCCGCTTAATTTGGAGGCAAACCTGGGATTAAAGCAGACACATTACAAATTCAAACTTAGTATAAATAAAAACTTTTAGCAGTGTTTTAAAATAAAGCACAACCTGAAACAGCTACAACATGGGGGATGGGTGTGGGAGTAGTAGAGATGCAGCTAAAAATAAAAGCAAAAAGAGTAACTAGACTTTGTACTACATTCTGTGAACTCCTTTATTTAAGTACGAGGGAAGTTATTGATATTTGTTTAGGTGAAATCGGCTCATGTTTTCTTGCTGCAGTTCACAGCAGAACTAATGTGACCATTTCACCTTGTTCTTATCTATTTTTGCTCATAACTTCCTCAGTGTTCAAGATATCGCCAAGAAATTTTAAGAAAAGATTCACATTCTGGTTTTTGTAGGAAGCATCTTGTATCCTAAAAACTAAACAAACTTAATCATAACCAATGCAAAAATTAGCAGAAAAGGTATAAAATAAAATTACAAGGCAAACTGCAGCATCAAATCAAATTAATTTGTCTTGGAAAGCAAGAAACTTCAAACTTTTTAAAGGGGACCTATTATGCAAAATTCACTTTTTAAAGTTTTATTTTTTTTACTCAATTTTGGGTATGTACTTCTTAAAAAACAGTCCTAGGACCAAAAAAATGCACCCAGGGGCATATTTACTGTAAGTAAATGTATTTTTAATGTATATTAACGACAAGTTTTATAC